CCAGGCGAGCGCGCTACCGCTTGAGCCACATCCCCAGCCCTAGGTGCCGGCTCTCTGTTCTCTACTGGTCCCTCTGCAGATCCCACTGCTTCTGCCCTGCGTCCCCTGTCCACCCTGTACCCCACTGCTCAGGAACCCTCTGACTGTTTTTAATCTCCAGTCACCTCCTTTTCCACCTTGTTTTACCTGCCACTGTCTTTCAACAGAGTTGTTGCATGGTTTAAAAACAACATTGAGGATGTGACGAGCCCCAGTGCCTCGGCCCAGGGTGGCCAGCTGCGTCTTCCCACCCCACCCGTCTCTGGTGGGATTGGCTCACACCTCACTGTGCATCGTCCCCAGAGGATGCCTTGTAACCCCAAACTTCTCTGCCTTTGCACCAACTGTCCCTTAGCCTCGCAGACAGGGTCACTTCCTTGTTCGTCTCACTTCCTGTGGGAGTGTCCTTTGTCACCCTGGCCCTGTTCAGATATTAACTCCTTTTTGACATTTTTCTTCCTCTTCTTTCCACATTTCTGTGTTTCTTTAAGATTTGATTTGTACTTTTGTTATACTTTTTTCTTAGAGTTAACTGTTTATCGTTCATCTATTGGACAGGAATCTTTAAGAAAAAAGGATATGTGACATTCATTTCTATTTGTCATGGCATGTCACCGTGTTCTCTCTTTTAAATATATTTTTTAGATGTTGATGAATCTTTATTCATTTATTTATATGTGGTGCTGAGAGTCGAACCCAGTGCCTCAAGCTAGGCAACTGCTCTGCCACTGAGCCACCACCCCAGCCCCTGTCACCGTGTTCTCTACACACATGAATACCCAATAAAATGCTTACTGCACTGAACCTCCATTACCCAGATAATTACTAACTATATAAAACCAGGGTTGCTTTGAAAAAGAGGGAAAAAAACCTTTTTATCTCAGTTCTATTGATGTATATTTTCTTTAAAGTCCTCATGTGGGCAGTAAATGACTGTAGAAGGCTTTAGCAGCAACATTAGGCTGACTAAAAGAAGATAATTCCATTATGCCATATTCTGAATCTAGAATTTGATCGAAATAAGTGTAGCTGGGGCTGGTGCACACCTGGACCTCACAGTCACGTCTCCAGCTCACACTCCACATTCGCATTCCCCGAGCATCCAGACCCCCGCTCAGCCCCGTGCTGGGAGGTCTGCTGCTCTGATGGAAGGGCCCGATAGGCAGGACAGGAGGAGGTGACGTGCTGCTTGCCTGCCCCTCTTAAGGTCAGACACTTCTGTGAACTGCCACAGGCTCCGGAGGCAGAGTAGTGGCTGGAGGAGTCAGGACAGACCTCTTCAGCAGGGGGTCAGAGTGTTTTAAGTGACAGTGAAAGTAGCAATTGTTGTTGAGGAAGAATGCAGACAGCACAGAGGAGCAGCCATTGAAGAGGAACAAGCTTGGCCCTCGCTGAAAGCCAGTCTCACTTCCCCAGACGCCCACCGTGGACTCTCTCCCTTGCAGCCGTTCAAACTTACGCTATATTTAACCTACCCGTGTGAACTTGCTCCTGCCTGTGCAGGGGGTGTATTTGCCACTTGATTTTTATCCCAGAGTACATAAATCTTTTTTTATTAATAAGATTATAAGTTATCCTCGCTGTACAGAGCAGTGCGGAGTCATGCAGCAGACGCTGAGTTCCTTCCCCTCCGGCTTGGAACGTTACGCTTTGTCTTTGAGTTTTTTAACTACATAAATATTAAGGGTATCTTTGAAGGCTACCTTCCCCCATTTCCCCTCCTCCGGCAAAACTGTTTCCCCTTTCTGTTTTAGACAACTTTGTAGTGTTCTGTGTACCATAAATGATTGGCACCTGCTCCTATCGGTGGACATTTAGGTTGTTTCCAGTGTTTTGCTATTGCAACAGATACTGCAGTGGATGGTGGTTCACTTAAAAGTGTCTGAGAACCCATTGTGTGTCAGACACTGTTGTAGGCTCTGGAGACAGCAGTAGGAATTGTTTTCTGCAGTGTTGTCTGGGAACCAACCATGCCCAAAGCATGATCCACAGAACAGTTGTCCTATGAGAGTCACCGCAAAAGGGATTTTGAGCAGGAAGCCACCATACCACATCCCTTCTTGGAGATTCATAATCACCTTATTAGGGCAATTGCTCTGAGAAATCCTGCAATCAAGGAGCCATTGTTACCTAACCTGTTTGACAGAGGGACCAATTTTGGCATAATTATTCACATCCTGTAAAGCCAGCGCTCATGGGTATAGTTGACAGCTGTACTTAAACACTGAGTTGTTAAAGCAGTGGGTAACACTTTAGAAAGCATATATTTTGACAAATTTTGAAAAGTATAGAAAACTGCCAGAGTAGAAATGGTGGGAGTGGTAGTTTGGAGGAGTCTGCRTGTGACTCGGGACGGGCCGGGAGGTAAGGTGGCATCCAGTTCAGGACCTCGGTTTGCCAGTAGCACTTAGGAATGAACCCTGATACAGTCTTCCTGGCTCTTGGTAGTTTTGAGATACTTGCTGCAGATGAAAGTATTAAGAAGTGACGGCTTTACTTCCAAAAATTTAGGGAAATTCTTCAAGCTCTATTTTTGCTGAGTTTAGTGATTTGCATTTGCCAAGTTTGCCATCCCCCCGTAGCACTCGGGTTGTTCACTTAGTACAGATCTTCTGTGCCAGTTCTGAAACCCTTAGGGCTGCCGGGTCTCGAAAGTCCAGAAGTTTTCATGGATAATATGTTAGGTCAAACCCTGCCACCAAATGAGGGTGTGCCAAGTTTATGAAGAAAGTTCCAGTTTTCGAGAGGTTTGATTTTTCAGTATTGTATGTGAGGCGGTACTTTAAATGATCTTTTTAAAACCTATTTTAAAAAATGAATCTTGATATCCATGAAATTGCAAGTTAAATGTATTAGTTATATACAAGTTAGAATACCTGATTTTTAAAAAATTTCGATCTTTTGTCAATCTTATCCGTATTTAAAATATAAAAATTTAAACACTTAACAATCATCTTAACAAATTAATACTTGGGGAAAGACTGGCTTAAAATAATAGGAGACGGATCTTTTAATTGCTAGGTGAGGCCTGTCTAAGAGAGGGATGGGCCTCCTCTTAGAGAAACCTCCTTTCCTGCTTTCCTGGTAACATGGAAAAATTGCTTTGATATGCAATTATTAATTGCTGCCTGAGCGACTGCCCCAGAATCTGATGGCTTAGAACAAATATTTATCCTTGTCTGTAGCGCATGTGGGAATGGGCAGAGCTGGGGAGTCAAGCTCAGGCTCCCCCCTGAGGCTGCGGCGTCTGGGGCTTGCTAGGGCTGGGAGGTGGCTTCTAGCCGGCTCTCGGTTGCCAGCTGTTGACGGGCAGGAGGCTCAGCTCCTGGCTCTTCATTCCCAGGGGGCTGCTGGAGAGTCCTTGGGAATGTACCTTCCCCTAGAGAGAAAGCCAGGAGGTAGACACTGTCACTCTCCACCTTACTCCGTGTGTTGGAACTGAGACCAGTTCACAGGGAGGGCAGTTGGGCCCAGTTTCCAAGGGCTTGTTCATGCTTTGAACATACTAGCTGAGAAGTAGGTGGATATCTAAGAAAATCAGTCAAGTTTATTGTATTTTCAAGGATGAAATTAAAAACATTTCTGTATTGTCAACAGGGCAGCTTTCATTGATGCAAAGGCACTGATATAAATTCCTGGGTGGCATATTTCTAGAAAAAGTATAGGACTTGGGGTATAAATATGAACTTTATTTACTCTCTGGACAGTGGATTTCTCATTCACAAATTGATGATAATGATTATGACATCACAAAGGGAGGATAAAATGAAGAGGAGTAGGAGTGTTTTGTGAACTGTGTGTAGCTTCTAAAATTCAGCTGCCACGTGTGTGCCGGGCAAGCCCTAAACACTCAGTGCGTGGCGGTTGTGACTCAGGGCCTGTGCTTTCCCCACCTCAGGTGGCAGAGACACTGAGGAGACCGGGAGGCTGAGTCTCGCCCAGGGGTCCACAGCTGACAAGTGGCAAAGCCAGTGTTGGAACCCTGGCTGTCTGGATATATGACGTTTTCTGGGCCCTGATTTATTCAACAGGCATTTGCTGTCCTATTACCAGGCAGAATCAAATACTGGGAGGTCTATGGACTTGGAGTTTAAAAGCTGAATTCCTATGAATTGATTCATAGTATTTCCGTTTATATGAATTTTAAGTTGTTCACATGTTTTCTCTGGGTTTTAAATTTTCCTTCAATTTAACGGTACTTTTAAACTTAAAGAGTATGAATAGTTCACAACTCAAATAATAATCACACACTATTTTCTTAATATTATTTTTTGATACTGGGGATTGAGCCCAGGGGTGCTTTACCACTGAACCACATCCCCAGCCTTTTATTTTGAGAAAGAGTCTCACTAAGTTGCTGAGGCTGGCCTTGAACTTATGATAATCCTGCCTCAGCTCCTGAATCACTGGGATCATAGGCATGCACCACTGCCCTGGCTTATAGAACTGTTTTTAAGCCTAGTGAATTACTTGGCCATTTTGGTGTCAGAGGTTGTCTTTTAAAGAATAAATGTTTTTAGTTGTCCCTTTTATGTTAATTGATTTTTTTTTGTTTTCTTCCTGATATAGACCTCTTTTATATGGAATTTTGGCTCATTTCTTGCATGGAACTAAGGACAGCGTCCCAAACACCTTTCTGAAAGAGTCTTCACTTCAACCTTCAAACCCAAATCTTGTCAGACAGAAGAAGGCCGATGGGTAAGAGGTTCCTGAGGTTCCTCTTTTAGCTTTAGTAAGTGTGTTTTCTTCCTGTGCATTTGAATCCTTGAAGGAGTTTTTCCTGAGCTTTTGAGCCATAGTTTAACTTCACTTATATCTAAAACAGTGAGCTTATGTTACTCAACCTTCAAGAAATACTTTTTGGAAAGAAAATTTTTTAAAAAGTAGGGGAATAACTGGGAAAGTCTGTGTGTGTGTGTGTGTGTGTGTGTGTGTGTATGTACACACATACATGTAAATTCATATACACACACAAAAGTTTTGCAAAACCCGATTTTTATTTATAGTCCTTGGAGCACTGCAGATCTGTATACTGTAAAAGTAGTTTTTTTTTACCAAGGGATCATTTTTTTCTGTCCAGGAGCTAAACACAGATGGAGAAGTCATGGGCCATGTGTCCTTTGCATTTTCAGGATTTTTTTTTTTTTTTTTTTTTTTTGTACAGTAGATGGTCGTTATTTTCACAAATAATGGATTCTTAGAATGACTGATCTTTTTTTTCAGAATGCTTGCTGTTAAAATGAGCTTTCAGTTGTTCAGTTACATCAGTAGTAGAGCCTCCGTTTTGGATGGCATTTTAGCTGTGTTTCCAGCCGTGGTAGAGAGCTCATCGCTCTGCCAACTCCTACCAGTAGTTCTTCTGTGTGGGCACGTAAAGTAGAATTGCTGGTCACAGTGTACAAATATTGAAAACCAGCACAAATTTGTTTACACGCTTCCCAGGAATATGTGACTCTATCCGTTTGTTCCAGTGGATCTTGGTGACACACGAGCACTTGTTACATAGCAATCGCAAGACATTGTATTAGTCCCGGGAAGAAAGAGAGCCTCTTGAGAAATAAGCCTTTCTGGCTCATAAGCTTCTTATAATCAGTCTCTTTAACATTCCTGCTAATGACAAGTATTTCTTGACCAAGTTCTGTTCAGAGGTGGAAGTCACTGATGAGCTCCTGCTGTCTTACACCACATGGGGATGGACACGGAGGGAAAGAAGGGGCAAGAGACACCTTCTGGGTACAAAGTGCCAAAAGTATCAGAGAATCAGCTTCAAGGCAGTAAAGCAGCTTTGGGTGCCTGTTCTGTGGCAAGCTCCATAGAAAACCCAGCCGTGAGGGTGACCACCGATCCAGTGGGACAAGAACAATGACTTGCAAATTATTTTCTTGGCACAACAGTGATTTCTTTGTGCAGTGACTTGAAGCACTGTCGGCCACATGTTGCGTCATGTTTCAGGAACACGGTTCAGCAGTCTACTTSCTTTCTTAGCCTGCACACCTGCATGTCTGGAGCTGCGTCACTCTTACCTAACGGCACTGAGGAGGTCGCAGAAATAGTAAAGTGACCACTCTGCAAGCCACGCGCCTTATCACTGCACCGGCCCATCCGGACGCAAGACAAGACATCAAACAAAATCTGCTTCCATTTGAAAATAAGCCCAAAGCCTGCCAAGATGAAAGCACACCTCATAGGAGCTTGCAGAGTGGGGAGACCCTCCGAGAGCCCGCTCACTACCTGCTGCTGTCGACCCTTGCCATCTTGCAGGCAAAGAAGTTTTTGCTCCGAATAAAAGACAAGATGTTTAGAGAAAACCTTTATCAGCTCGACTTTATACAAAAATGCAGACTCCATTTTCTAGAACAGGACTTTTCTAGAAGACCTAACATCACTGTGCTCTAAGGAACTTGTTCATTTTGTTCTGTCAACAAAGTTGCCCAAATGTGGAGGGAGAGAGATCCCCATCTGCTATCCAGACTGGAGAGGTGTCCTAGTCCTAAGGCTGATGTCACCTCTTCTTAAGGATTTGAAAACCAAGTGTGGATTTTTGGTACTAAATCTGCATTTTCTAATCCCTTGCCTAAATTTGTATTTTCGTAAAAGAATTGACACAAGAAAGGCTCTGTCAGCTGTGGCAGTGCTGGGCTGGGCAGAAGTGCCCTCTTTACTGTGGCCAGAGCACTGCAGGGGTCACAGAAGCCTCCTGGAGCTTTCTTGTCTTGTTTTTTGGCTTTTGAAAACATTTTCCACGGTTCCAGGAGTTTTCAGATCTCGGTAGGAAGGTGTGAATGTGCCCATGTTTTTCTTGCCACCAGAGGGCGCTGCTGGGAGGCGCTTGTGTCTGAGAGCTCTGGMGGCCCGCAGCCGCTGACCCACCACTTGTCCTCCTCCCTCGTGAATTCCATTCCTTACAAATAAGAGGTAGGCCTGGAACTCATCACGCAGGGGTTTCCTCCAGCCTACCTCCTTCACTTAAAAAAAAAAAAGGGCAAGAAACACTTTTGAATAGTTAGCCCCAAGGACTGAACATTTCTGACTCCTCAGTAGGTTTAAGAAGTGCATTTAAAGGCAGGTGCAGTGGTGCAGGCCTGCGATCCCGGCCCCTCGGGTAGCTACTGAGGATCACAAGTTCCAGGCCAGCCTAGGAAACCTTAGCAAGGCCCTGTCTTAAAATTACAAAATAAAAGGGGCTGGGGATGTGACTTGGTGGTAAAGCACTCCTGGGTTCAATCCCCAATACCAAAAAAACCAGACTTTTTTTCATCATCTTAAGCCATCTTCAGAACTCATCAAAGAGTGCATGACAACGTTGGAACATTCGCGMAGGTGTGGCCCCCCTGTGTCTTAGGATACATGTTGACGTGTGCTTCTGCTCATTCCAGGTGACCACCAGGAAAGGAGAGGGGCGGAGGCACCAACACCGAGGCTCCCCCCTTTCTCAGGCCGTGAAGAGATGACACTTCGATGCAGAGTATCTTTTATCTTAAAATTGTGTGTATTAAGTAACTTATTTATCATTCCAGTGTTACAACTACTATTTGCATTTTGTAGAAATTTGAGTTTCTGCACAGTACTTGACCCCTCGTGTTTTACTGCATTTGTGAATAAAAGCTAACTCTGTCATCTAGCTTTTTGGATGTGACTGGAAAGAAGGTGCATGGTTTTTACGAAGTAGTTTGAAGGCCCAGAAGTTCATGAAAAATGCAAGGGCTTTTAGAACTTTGTACCTTCTTCTAAAAAAAGTTCCAGGCCTTTATCCACATGTTCTGCTCCTTGACATGCACATTAATTAAATTTCCTTCAGTTGGAATCATGTGAACTTGTAGGAAAATTCATTCATGACTTAAAGAATATTAAAACCAAAGCTAATTTCCTGTACAGTTTGATTTTTCTTAAAGGACCTATTTTTCAGAAAACCACTCATGATTCAGCTTAAATATCTGAATTACTACCTAAAGTTAAATTTGTAAATAGATAACCAAGTACTTTTTCTTTCCTTAGTCCATTTTGGCTTCCGCTGGAAATTTTAATTAAAAGGTAGAGGGGGAAATAATTCTTTTAACATGCTATAAGTAAAACAGAGTTTATTTTGTTTTATTAAGAATGTAAAATAAGGGGGGCTGGGGTTGTGGCTCAGTGGTAGAGTGCTCACCTAGCACGGGTGGGACCCAGGTTCGATCCTCAGCACCACATAAAAATAAAGGCATTGTGTTGTGTCCAGCTACACCTAAAAAATAAATATTTAAAAAAAAAGAATGTAAAATAAGGGGCTGGGGTTGTGGCTTAGTGACTGAGCACTTTCCTAGAATATACAAGGCACTGGATTCCATCCTCAGCACCACATAAAAATAAAGGCATTGTGTTGTGTCCAGCTACACCTAAAAAATAAATATTTAAAAAAAAAGAATGTAAAATAAGGGGCTGGGGTTGTGGCTTAGTGACTGAGCCCTTGCCTCATGTGTGTGAGGCACTGGGTTTGCTCCTCAGCACCACATGAAATAAATAAATGAGTGCAAAGATATTGTGTCCACCTACAACTAAAAAGAAAGAATGTGAAATGACATGAAGAGACAGGCTTTAGGGAAATACCAGAAGGAGCTTTCCCTAGAGGCACTGTTGAAGCCCCGCGTGGCCCTGAGGGACGCGCGCCTTCCTGCCTGGGCTCTGGAGGTCATTTTGAATGTCCGTGTGTCTCTAGAAGCCCCTTTGATCATTGCTAAGGACGTCTCGTGGTGTGGAGTTTCACTAAGACAGCTCTCAGGGCAGCCCGCCCCTGTGCAGAGTCGTGGGGCGCTGGAACTCGGAGCGCCTGGACGTGCCGGTCTAGCTGCGCGCTTCCCACGGGAGAGGGCTGTGGCTGGCGCTGTTGTCACCCTCCTTGGGGTGCTGGGTATGTGCTAACTTTGAAAATGACAGAAACCTTTGATTTTATATTTGATGATGTTAATTGTATTTACTCCTTACAGATTAAGAATTCTTATCTAAACACAAATCACCATTGTTTTTCATTTTTATTTTGTTGTGCTTGGGCTGGAGCTCAGGGCCCCAGGCTTTCTAGGCAGGTGCTCTACCACTGAGCTACCCAGCCCATCAGAAACTACTAATGAAACCCCCTGAAACTATATTTTATAAGTCAAAAGATTTTGAGAGCTGGGCGCAGTGGCTCACACCTGTCATCCCAGAGGCTCAGGAGGCTGAGGCAGGAGGATCTTGAGTTCAAAGCCAGCCTCAGCCACAGCAAGGTTCTAAGCAACTCAGTGAGACTCTGTCTCTGAATAAAATACAAAATAGGGCTGGGGACGTGGCTCAGTGGTTGAGTGCCCTGAGTTCAATCCCTGGTACCCCCCCAAAAAAAAAAGATTTTGAGAGCCCTGTTTGTGGGTTAAAATTATATCTGTAGATGCAGAGTCTTAAAAGGGCCCATTTTCATTTTTAAATCTGTAATGTCTGATGACAATTATGAATTCCATTGTATCGTATGTGGGAATATAAAGATCTGACTTTCCCAGCAGTCTTGGTTCACATCCAAGTTGTTGTCACTAAGTTTACCTCAGGAATTGCAATCATGTAGATTAAGAGAAAAATGCTGGAGTTGATGATTTTGGATACTGTTGAAAAACCATCACAATGAAGGCTGACTAGAACTGTCACCGGTGTTGTAGCCTCTGTGTTCATTATTCTGTAACTCCTGTGCCTGGACAACTTTTATACTTTCAACATATCATTTAATTAAAAAAATTTTAAGCAATTCACCTGTGTGCAGAGGGTGTTTGTATCGCTGCTGTGTTGTCCAGCGCTGGGCACAGAAATAGAAGAAGGACCCGGTGGCTCTCCTGCTGCCTGTCGGGGTCCTCGTGGTGGAGAACCTGGAGTAGGGGCTGGGGTCTGTGCCCTGGGCTTCAGCCCTGTCGCCCTGCAGCAGCTATTCCCAGGGTACAGGGGGGGCCTGTGCCAGTCCCTCGGGGTAGCATCATAATGGGGGGCAGGGGTGGTTTGAAAAACATCTTTATATTTGGAAAAGAAAAGACAAAACATACACTGAGAATTTTATTATCCAAAAAGAAGGATTTCATGTTAAAAAAATCTGCCCTAGAAATTTCCATACTTGAGATTTTTCAATAGTGTCAGTTTTTAATCCAGGAGCTCAAAAAAGCGGTGCCTGAGACAGGGAGACGCTGGGGGAAAGAAACGGAGCACAGATGGACTCAAGGAAAGAGAGGACTCCATAGTGYTGGTGGGTTCCCTGGGGTTGGGAGGAGTTGGGAAAAATGTTGGATTTACACAAAAAATCAARTGGGAAAGTGGAACAGAGGGATTTAGGGAGGTGGAGATTTAAAACGTGGACAGTCTAAAAATCCAGAGCAGGCTCAGAGGGCATTTGAAGATGACGAACAGGCTTGTCATATGTATTTGCAGAGAATAAACGAATCGCCTTATAATTATGTGCGAGTACACATTTGTGTGTGGCTCACGTGCCTGTGTGACTGTGTAACCTTGATGAGTTCTTTTAGCCTAAAGCCAAGTGCACAGGAAGGACCAACTTGTGACAATCTGCCTTTAGTGGCCCTTGGTATGTGACGGTATGTGACGTTTGTAACAACTGTTAGGCACAGACTGTGATCTCCGTGGATTTTTAAAAAAGAAAATGAAGGAAAACTACCTTCTTACAAGTAGATGATATTGTTTAGAGCAGTTGCAGATGCGCAGCTAAATAGAAGGGAAGGGACAGTGCCCTCTCCTCCCTGCCCCAGGGACGAGCAGCCTCCGCACCTGTCACTGTGGACGGGCCTGCTTTGACACCTCAGGTCCATGGTTGCGTTAGGGACCACTTGGTGTCTGACCCGTGGTTTTGGACATATGTTCGCAGWATAGTGTTAGACAGCAAGTTTCCCCCCACACCCTCTGTGCTGGGCTTTCCTCTGCCTTTTGCAGACGACTCTAGCTGGAGTCATGCAGATTGGCTTCTTTCACCCAGGACCCTGCGTTGAGCTCCCCTCATTGCTTCATGACTTGAAAGCTCATTTCTTTTTAGTCTTGAGTAGTATTCCACTGTTATTTGTCCATCCCCCACTTGGGACATACTGTTGCTTCCACGATTGGGCAATTATGAACAAAGCTGCATGTGCAGGTTGGGTTTTTGTCTTTGTTTTTGCGTTGGACATAAGTTTTCAACTCCTTTGGATAAATTCCTAAAAGGCGTCACTGGCTGGATCATATGGTAAGAAAATGTTTGGTTTTGTAAAAAACGATTTTTATTGAGACTCTTGGGACCCTTTCCTAAGATAGTGGTAGAGAACATACAGTTACTGGGAGGCCAGAGTTGGAAACTGGTGACAAGGAGGGTGGCAGGTCACTACCCAGTGCAGTCTTACACCTGGAGAAGCGTGGGGCCGCCTGGCTGAGACGGAAGCGCTCTGGGCAGTGCAGGGGACACAACTGTGACTGTGGTCAGCAACCTTGAGCCAGGTGGACTTGAGATGATACCTGGGGCCTATGAAGTATTTGAGTATATAAATCTATTGACCTGTTAAGTAAATAAATCCTGAAGCCCACACAGGAGAAAATCATGCTTAGGGTGACCTATCTTTGATAACTAAAAATTAGAAGGGGCCAACTGCTGTGGTGCATACCTGCAATCCCAGCAGCTCGGGAGTTTGAGGTGGGAGGATTGCAAGTTAGAGGCCAGCCTCAGCAACTTAGGGAGACCCTAAGTAACTTAGGGTCTCAAAAGAAAAATTGGAGGGATCACACATTGGGGGCTTTTTGAAAACAGCAAGAAATTATTTTTATTTATTTTTTAAAGAGAGAGAGAATTTTAATATTTATTTTTTAGTTTTTGGCAGACACAACATCTTTGTTGGTATGTGGTGCTGAGGATCAAACCCGGGCCGCACGCATGCCAGGCGAGCGCGCCACCGCTTGAGCCACATCCCCAGCCCAAGAAATTATTTTTAAAAAGACCCTGAGAGAAAGATTTCCTCTCCCCCATGGTTCATGGAAACGCGCATTATATGGTCCCTCACAGAAAAGACGTGCCTAGGAAAAATATTTGACAGCAGTCAAAGTGACATTTTGTAAAGCAGTTTTTTTGTCTCCATCTTAAAATAATTGGCCTTTTGAGACATGAGAAATAAAACAGGCATCTGCTTTAATTCATAGAAGAATGCACTTTTGAAGATTCTAGCATCTGAACGTGGTGCATGGGCCGGCACATGTTGAACGGCCATTACGTGAACATGCCATCTCTGGGCACTTCTAGAGCATGCATGATGAAGTGGTTGATGGAAAGCTTCAACACCATCATATTCACAACTCGGCAAGGTAGTCAAGGCAGGGTCTAATCTTTACTTTTCCTTTGAGAAAATGGATTCAGGTACAGCAACAAGCCCGCAGCTGCTTGGCTGGTGCTTATTTAGTATTAAAAGTCAGGCCTGTCGAGCTTAGTGCAGACTCAGGCGGTGCTCGGAATCCCTGCCCCACGCTAACTACCGGAGCTACCTGCCCTGGGTGTCTCACCTCTCCAGACCCTCGCCTACATCATATCCTTATTAAGGACCACAGGAGAGAGCAAGTAAAACTGAGCATTGGCTTCAAAGTCTCTACTTCTGATTACTCTCTTCTCAAAGTTACCAACAAGTTCAAGGAATGAGCGGCAGCCCTTTGGAATAACACTGCTGGGGCCAGGGGTGGGAATGCCAGTCCTTCCTCGGAGGGGGCCGGGCTGGG